AGATACTGTGTGATAGATCACGCCCTAAACTGTACTTCCCTATACTGGGAAGTATAAAGAGTAATAAAATATTACCACAAGCATTAATACTCACTTCCATATATCTCCCCTTTTCATGAATGATTTATATATAGCAGCCAAACAGGTAACCAAGGCAATTTTTGATCCTTCCTGTGGACCTTGCTGTGAGTTGTACATTATTAGAAAGCTAATCTAAAAATCCATGCTTGTAACTACAATGGCTCTGATACAAATTCTACTTTTCAGGGTTTAATATCTCATCTGGTTTAAATCATATTAAAATAAAACTTGGTTTCCACCCCAGATGCGCATTTGTTTTACAAAAGAATTATTCATATAGGATTTATTTTTGATATAAAGATCAACAAGAAAATTAAATTTTCAAAGACTTGTACTTTCTTTGGCAAAAAAAGGAATTCACAGATATGTCATTGAGGACAAATAAACAATTCAATGCCTGAATTGAAAAAAGGGGCCTCAGTCTTTAGGAAAATGAAGTTTTCTAGTTGGAGATTCAGTTGTAAGATATTCATCACCCAGCTTTTTTTTCTGGTACCACAAAAATTCCGGCATCCGTTTTGGGACATTTGCAGCATTTTAGACATATATTCATACAGCAGTTGTTTTTTTCCAATTTGTTTCTTTTTATTTCTATTATTTAATTTATTGGATTTTCTAATTATGTGAGGGGAAAGAAAGCTAATTGGTCATAATGATGTATTGTTAATCATATTAACAATTTCAGGGTAAACCGTACTTTTTTAAAATGCAGTTTTATGCTTGAAATTATTAAGGAAAGTGTGTTTGCATCCACCTTTTCTTTGTGGGTTTTTTTTTCCCTTTTTTCCCTTTTTTCTTTTTTTTTTTTTTTTCCCTCACTTTAGGAAAAAACTATGGAGATAAACCAGATGTTGCTGATAGGAATAACACTGATCACAAAAGAAATTATACGTACTAAGAGTTAGGTCATGTCTCAGATGTATGGACATGCACAACTGAAAGGAGACTCCTGCAGTTGAGCCTTCCCTCTGACTTCCTTGGGATTTTAGGTGCAGGTGTAAAGAAGTAAGCAGGTGTTGGAGGGACTTTATCTTCACTAATGTTCCAGCCAGCACACCTGAACAGGCACAGTGATGTACATCGTCTGCTACTCATAAGGGCCATGAGCTTCTTTCTTACCTTTTGCTAGGCTAAAAAATTCTGGTATCTGCATTTTCCATGCACTTCTCATCATTATATGCAATTTTTTACTGAGAGTAGTATTGGAATACCGAAGTCTGTCCTAAAGGAAAAACAGCACCTAGTTGAACAGGAAAAAATTGTATATACATACTCAAGAATTAAATAGAATTAAAATCGTCCCAGCAGAAATATTATTATAATTTCTTTAGTTCTGTGCAGTTTGCTTTCTCCAAAGCTGTAATTAGATACTTAAATAACAGCTTCTTGCTTTTATTTAAGTAATGTAACTTAATGATTAAAAAGCTTTCTTATCCTACTTTAACCACAGATATCAGTCATCAAAGAAATGACTCAAGTGAGCTACCATCATATGTGCGTAGCAAGATGATAACTATTTGCCTCTGATGATCAAAACCGGGGCAAGTACTTGGATCACTAGTTGCCAATATGAGATAAAAAGTAGTTAATAGTGTTGTTAGCTTCCTTCGTCTCACAAAATCTCCCTTAAAAAGATAAAATCTTTAATTTGAAAAACATTTCTTCAAAATAAACTAATCAGGTAGAAAGTCTTCAATATGAGCTGAAGTCCTTTATTGAGTGGGTTTGATAACAAAGTAATAACTGATTTTTATTTATCAATATGTTAAAGTAAACGAAACAGTGCAATTAATAAGATGTTTATTACTAATTTCTTAAAAAAAGTAAATAGTAAATGGGAAATTGTGTCATGAGACCAAGAGAAATGCTGCAGAATAAGGGAAGCATAGTTGCTAGAATATCAGATTTGGCCTGATTGTCAGTCTTTGCCAGATTGGCAATTGGGTCTGTGAATGAATTTTTTATTTTACAGAAGTGCTCCTGTCCTATAAACCATGTTTCCTTTGCAGTATCTGAGGTACTCATATTATCATTTTCAGTAGTGAGCATAATTAATTTATAATGCAATATTGCATATAACATTATCAAAGAGTAAAATCGACATTTTTTCTTCTATATCATTCGTGATTAAAATATTCTGTATATCATTGACTATCATTTTTGTGGCATAGAGTATTCCCAATCTTTATTAGAACTAAGAAGTTTATGTTAAACTCCGGAAGGTTATTGAAAAGACACTTTAACATTCCTCTAGCTGTAAGACTACCCTGAAAAGGATACCCTTACAGGTAAATATTGGAGCTGAGGGGTTTTTTGGTGCATATGCCATATTAACCGTAGAACCAAGGGCCCGAATTACATCCTACTTAGGATTTTTCCCCAACTTCCCCTCCTTCCCTCAGCTGCAGGATGACACAAGATCTGCAATGGTAAATCTATGCTTCTTGGGAATTCCTTTGCTTCTATGATGGGAATTTTGCCAGGTTGATTAAATCATCCATAGCTCAGTAGAAAAGTACAAAAATTGCCAATAATGGGCATGAACGTACATCTATATTTGATACCTATTTTCAATTCAATAATTTCCCTTGATATAAATAGACCATGTGTTAATAGTACCTGTCACTCTCTTGTAGCTTTCTGCATAACAAGAAAGATCCACAGGAATAATAGGTGCCCTTTTGCATATTCATATGATAACCCTACATGTTAGACACATAGTCAAAGATAATCACACCAAAAAGGAATAAAATTTCTAAATATGAGATAGATTCTGGCTGGCCCAGAAGAGTTGCGTTACACAAGCAACCGATCATAAATGGAGGACTTCATAAAAAGTGTAGCTTTAAGATGTACTAAGTATAACAGTTTTAACTCGGTATTTCCATTCCTTATTTACTTTATACCTAAAGCCAAATACTTACTTTATGTCAACAAGTCAAAATTACCAGCATCTCTGAGCAAATTGATAATCATGCATTTACTGTTCTGCTGCCATAAGCATCATGCAACAAATTGCAGTTATCCTTTTCTTCTGGTTCTGCTCATTACTCCATCCCCTTCATGGACTTCATATAACATTCTGTGCAGCTTCCATCAGTCATAATTTCAATAGGCTACATATATATTTATTAATGAGGTTTTGTGGGTTTTTTTTTTTAAATTGCGTTAGTCAGAGAAAAGAGAAAGAACATATTTAATCACTGCTTTTTCATCTGCTGCATATTCAAACACAATGCTGTTAAGTGAGAATTTGAGGTGTACCACTGAAAAAAATGAACAATAAAATCTAAAGCGTCCATATTAGACTGACTGATCCTGCCATGTCAATCATTGCCTTAATGTTGAACCCACTTAAAATGTTTTCTTCATTTCAGTACTAAAATTTTCAGCAATACTGAAAAAGTTTTGCAAAATACGTATTGTATTAATGGCTCATCTTCTGTACGATTGGAATTTTGTATTTGTGGAAGTGACTTGAAGAAGAGAATAAGCCCCCCTAAACCTGCTGGACTACCCATGTTTTATAGTAATTTAAATATAATTATAATTGTAACAGATATTTTATTTTAGACTAAACTGGTGTCTGTGATTGTCTACCTTTTCTAATTAGAACTTGTCTAATTCTTATGCATTGGACACCATCTGTAAGGATTTAGTGCTAACTGGACATATTCTGCATCCAGTGCTTTTCAGCTTAGGCTGAATTCAATTTATTAAATCTTATTCTCAGGATGACTAATACCATCCTTTTGTTTTAAAATATGTCAATTTCTCTTACGTTATCAATCCTTAATATTTAATCAGCACAGATAAATGCATTTCATTTGGCCTTAACTGTATGTCACAATAAGAGAAGAGACAGGAACACGAATAAACTAAACTATTTAAGCTATCCAGAAGATAATGCTTCTGCATTAGAATACGTCACTATATTTTTCAAAGTGGATGTTGATTTAGCCTGTAGCCCTCTGAAAGACACAATTTGTGAAGGAAAGCTAATAAACCGCTTTAGTGGCTTGAAGAATTGGTGATTTTCTCTCAATTGTTTCCCTCGGTTGCTGTTTGTTTCATTTATTACAGGATTCTGTTTCTAAGACAATAGTGTGTAGGGGTTACATCTGGTGTGTTCAAAAACTAGTGGCACAAAATGCTGAGGTGGCCTGGGGTGAACTGCACTCTGAGAGCAGGTTTGGGATAACAAATTGCTTTTGCATGAGGGCCCTGGCATGTAGAATCACTTACATAGGTATGTTGTCAAGGCAGAAGAGGTGAAACAAGGGTGGTCACAGGGACTGGAAATTATTATTCCCCCACCTTGTTTCTTCTCCCCTTCATTTTTCCTTTTTTTTCAAGCTAGTTAGTGACCTGAGATGAAATGGACAGGAATTGACAGCACACACGCTGCTGCTGGCAGCAGATTCACTGCAGTTGCTCCTTGGATATGGAAGGAGGAGGGAAAAGAAGAAAGAAACCCAGTTGTTTTCTAAACATAACATATGTAAAGATAATATGTTTACTTTAGTTTAAACCAACCCCTTTTTCCTGTAGAAATTATCCCCTCCCCCCCCCCCAGCACTGCAGTTCAGTAAAAAGGAGAGATGATTTTTTGTCTCTCCCTCTCCTTCTCCCTGCCTGCACAAAGAAAACGTGGGTTGATACCATTTTTATTGTTCTGCTGGGGTGGGTTTCAGACCTCGTATTAGCATATTGAATGTCTAATTGAATTCGGGGGCTGTGTTAATCATCTTGTTTTGTTTAAGGGTGGTTGGTGAAAGGTGCCAGCAAACGATTGCTTTGGCTTGGGGTTAGAGTGGTACTGCCACCCCAAGAAAAAGAATCGAGAAGGGGGAGGGAGCAGGGGAAAGGCGAGTTGACTGAGTGATGTCTGGAGGGCGAACTCGTGTGTCTCTTTGGTGATGTGTGCTGCTGTACTGAAATCCACCCCTCTGCTGGAGCTAAGGCAAGAGTTGGAGGCATCTGATGCTGCCGTTTCCAGGGTGAAATTTCTAAGGCTGGTTGCTAAAAACAACAACCAAAAAAACCCCCCAAATCCTCAGCAAAAATAGCAGTCAGAACAGAAGATCCGGCATCTCGCGGTCCGACTGACATAACCCAGACGTTTGAGAACCACATGCTTTTAACCTAGCCACACACACCAGGGAAGGAGAGGGGCGGGGGAAGGGACCAAAAAAGACACTGCAACTACCGAACATCACATTTCTTACAAAAGGGCCAGAAACAGAGCCTGTAGGAAAAGGGAAAGAAAAAAAAAAAAAAAAGAGAGAGAGAGAGAGAGAGGAAAAGCCTCCCCCTCTTCCCCCCATGAGTTTTTCGCAGTGCTCTGGTGAGGCTCGGAGGTGGCTGGCAGCGCAGGGGGCGGCTGCTGGCGCGGCTGGCGGGGCTGGGCGCAGCGCAGCGCTCCGGGCGCTCAGCACCGCGGGGCCGGACAGCTCCGCGCCCCGCCCGGCCCGGCGCTGCCCCACAACAAGTACCGCGCCGCTGTCCGGAACTCCCGCTCCCCGCGCCTCAGCTGCATTGTCTCCTCGCCGAATCGGCCGTCAGGCGTAATTACCCCCGTTTCCCCCCCCACCCCCTCCTCTCTCTCTCCTTTGCAGGAACGACTCTTTGGGAACCTGGTCCACCCAGGGATGTAAAACTGTGCTTACCGATGCATCCCATACGAAATGCTTATGTGATCGTCTCTCTACCTTCGCCATTTTGGCTCAGCAACCTAGAGAAATAGTAAGTAACAAAGGGGGGGAAAAACCCCAGTTTTAATGCAAAAGGCAATGCGGGGAGGGGGCTCCGGGGGGGAGGGGGAGCTGGTCCAGCTTTCCTCTCAGGTTATTGCAGACGTTGCATTGAGGAATTGTTTAATATTGCAGGTAGGCAAATGTTAGTCTCCTGGTGTCTACAGTGTCTCAGATAAATGAATTCCAGATTCTGTGATATGACTAATTCCTCGTGAAATTTACATGCTCTCGAACTCCATAAATATTTCAGAGAAAGCCTTATAATTGTGGTGCAAATGTGTAGAAAACTTTTGTATTGAACAATTAAGGGAATGTACAGGGCTTTATTATTGCTCTTGGTAGGAAAACCCTAGATACTGTAGTTAAACAGATTGCAGATCTGCATTGGACATTTTCAGCACAGATTTTCTATGTAGTCTGTTGATATGATGCAAGAAAAATAATCAAGTTTTCATGAGAAAGAGGGGACATTAAGTGTATAAGCAGACACTCCCAGTATTACTGGAAGTAAAAATAGCTAAAAAAGCAAATATTTGTGAAGTTATCCTGCCTAGGCATAATTTAATTTTGCTGGTTTTGGAAGAATATAATCAGAATCTTTTTAATAGCAAAGTAAATCAGTTTGGAACAAAGTGGTTGAAATAAAATACTACTTTCTACCTGAGATCTGGCCTAAAAGTGCATCTGTCTTATCTCCTATTTGGGTGAAAAAAGATATCTTGATAAATGTAATTTAAAATACATCCCCAAAGCTTTAAAAAGCATTTTGGTAAACCATCCTTTTAAACTTTTAGATCTAAATTTTTTCCATATGTATTAGCAAAACCCATGGCTATTTCAGGACATGAGCACGTATACCTACAGAGGAAAGACCTGATCTGATATCTGAGGGTAATAGTTTCTTTCTTAGAAGGGAAAGCTATTTTGTTTTCAAGGTCATTCTTTTTTTTTTTTTTTCCATTTTGTATTAGTACACAGAGTACAAATGAAATAATTCTGATTTTGAGGCTTTTTTTTAAGGAAAGACTTATGATACCGTTGCCATAGATATCCTACCATTCCTTCTAGGCAATCAGGGGCCCAAGGAAATTAAGCATGTGAGAACAGTGGATTGAAGTCAAAGTTATTAAAAGTCAGAAAGTTTGGTAATTCTGCAACAAGCATGAATCAAATTCCAGGACAAATTACTGGATGATCTTTAATATATTACAGTGAAACCCAGCTGTTTGTTTAATGCACAATCCTAAATATTGCTACTTCTCAAGAGAAATGCATCTTTTAATTAATGTTAACTGGGAAGTCATTTAAACTTGTACTACTGCCATAGTCTCCTGTTACATTGTAATATTACTACTTTATTTTTTAAAGTACCATGCAGGTATTACAAGGCATTTTAAAGCTCAAAGGCCTCTGAGGAATGTAATAAGCAGATCTGAGTTATGTATGGATCAGTTTTGGAACTAAGTTGATTTCTGCTTCATAAGTAATATTACTGAAACTTTCTGCGACAATGTGGCTACTTTTATAATTTTGCTCTTGTTGCTTTTTTTCTTTTGACTTGTTTTTTTTAATTGCTAGAGGATGTTTGTTCTTCATGGTTGTCTGTTGTAACCTACAGATCATGGAATCATCTGGTACACCCTCAGTGACCTTAATAGTAGGCAGTGGTCTTTCATGCTTGGCTTTGATCACCCTAGCAGTTGTCTATGCAGCATTATGGAGGTATGTAATGGATTAAAAAAGCTAAATGTAAACACTTAGTTATATTTAGTTGAATTGCAATTTAGAGAGAGCATTAGATGCAACATTTATTGTTTAGAAAATGAAAAAAAAAAAGGCAAAATGTAGTGCATGTTTTGATGCCTAAATTTGTTGATGTGATTGATCAGTTTTACTGTCTTGGCCTACTGGTGATGCATGGCCCATTCTTCTCTTTCCCCTCTTCAGTGTGAATGGCATTGCTCCTTTGGTGGATTATTCATAGATAAATAACAGCAGGATTGTTATATATGATATATTTCATGTGAAGCTTATGGCCTGTACCTTTAGCTGCTTTTTCTCTATTTACATTTTTAAACAAAACTTTTAAGTAATAAAATAAACATATCAAAGTGGCAAATCGGGTATTGAAGATTTATGGGGGGTTTGAATTTATTCAGATCAGTTATAAGTTTGAATAAAGACCACAAAATTAAATAGTCATAAACAGTGGGGTGGTACATTCCAGTAATATACTTTTTTTCCATCCTGATTTTTCAATATGAAAATATTATATTGATTTAAAAGTGCAATAAATATTTATGGAGTAGATTAATTTGAGAAGTCATGAGAAATAGCATGGTGTCCTAGTGCAGAAGAAACACAAAATTAAGTTTAAAAGTCATGCAAAGTAATAAATATTTTTAAAAAGTGAACACGGGTTCTCATTTAGCTTTTTTCAGTAATAATAGTAAAAAGGTTTTTATGCAAGTAATAAGAAACACAGGGATAAAAGAATAATTTTTAGAGTAATATAAAATCAACCAATAGAGTTCTGCTTGATAATTTTACACTGTTTTCTCTTTCACTCTATTATGTACCACAGAGACTCACAGGATTAGAAATATATATAATAAATAAGAATATCTAGTTACATAAGTTATGATAGAAGAGCATAAAAATTATCGGCTCTTATCTGTCAAAACTAAGAATGGGAGTATTTCAGGATATAATTCCCATCTGAAGAACTATAGTGTTATTTTTGCCCTCCCTGATATATTTAGCACTTGGATAGAAATACTGTCATGCTCAGTGGAACTGGTCTTCTCCATTATTTGAATTAGACATAAGGAAAAAATTTTTTATTTTGAGGTAGTGAGGCATTGAAACAGGTTGCCCAGAGAAGTTATAGATGCCCCATCCCCGGAAGTGTTCAAGGCCAGGTTGGATGGAGCTTTGAGCAACCTGGTCTGATGGAAAATGTCCCTGCCCATGACAACGGGTTGTAACTAGATGATTTTAAGTTCCCTTCCAACCCAAGCCTTTCTATGACTCTGTGATTCCATTAACTTCTAAGCAGAGATAAAATGTTATGTGTTATGGATTTAGTGTGGGTTCTGCATCCAAGTTAAGGCAGGATAACTCATATAGATCTCAGTGTTCTATCAGTGAGATATTTTTAAAGTATTATGACAACTGAGTGGTATGTCATTTGAATCATTAAAATATGTCTTGAATGTGTTTCTTGAGAGGACATAGTAAAGAACCATAGGGAGAAGATAGACACTGAGACTTATATGTACATATGCTTGTTTTGATAAATCTAGGGGTAGGGAGAAATCTGATGTTTTGACCCTATGTCTGCATTTATATTTTGGAACACCTACCTTCCTTTTGAATGGTAGGAGCTCTTTAGAAGTTATATGAGTTCGATGTATTCTGATCCATAAAAGGCCTGTATAGGCATTCTTTTGTGGTTCATTGATTTGATTCCCCCCAACTGAAAATTCAAACTGAAAAATAAATTCGGTATCAATCAAATATTCATCTGACCCTTCCTTTCCCTTTTCCTTTCCCTTTTCCTTTCCCTTTTCCCTTCCCTTTTCCCTTCCCTTTTCCCTTCCCTTTTCCCTTCCCTTTTCCCTTCCCTTTTCCCTTCCCTTCCCTTCCCTCGATAGTGGGCTGGCAGAAAAACTAAAACGTTCCTAACGTAAGTCAAGGCTGAAAGCTCCTGCTTGCACTGTATTTACTCAACTACTAAGGTCCTTTGTAGTCCATGAATACTCAGTGTTGGGAACTGGCCCAGGTGAATCGATAGTTAACAAGTTTGAAAGTTGCAGCATGCTGTCTACATGAACAAAGACACTGGACTTCCTGTATTTGCAAACACATAGAACTACCCTTAAGAATGTTGCTATACTTTAAAGGAAAGATGTGGATTGTGGTATCAGGGTTGTTCTGTCTTTAACTAAAAAAATGTAATCACTTGTATAACTTGATATATCAGCAAAAAGGGCTACAATTAATTTCATGTCCAAAACTCAGCATTTCTTGTGGGTTCAGCAGCCTTTTCTGTGACTAGAGTATCAACTATAGGTGTACAGCTCAGGGGGAGACAGCAATATTAACTGAACTCCAGTGAGCAGCATATAGAATAGGTCTTAGAATGTATAAAGATATGGCATGGTCTTCAGGGGAACTGAGCGCGCTTAACTTTCATTTATTTTAGTAGTCAACATTCACTGTTAACCGCTCTAAAAATCAGGTCAGAAAGGCACTTCACTTGAAACCTTGCTCATTCTCTTTCTGTTTTGTAGCATATAAAAGGCTGTATACTGAAAAAGGCATTTTGTAAGGAAATATGTGATAAGACTATATGACTTTTTCATTCTAAACATGCGTGTAAAATGAATATATGTTTGCAAGAGAGACTGTGATGCTCACTGCTGTAATTTAATCTTTCTGTACAGACTTAGCTATTTTTTTCGGCATTCAGTCTTATGAAGATATTATGGTACTATTGTTTCTTCCTAAAAATTATTTTGTAAATCTCTTGGAACATAAAGTTATCGTTACCCCAATAATGTGTTTCAAAATGCACTACCATAGTATCATCAACAAACCTTCACCTTATTTATGCATCATGGATCAAATCTTCTGTTTATGTAAATCACCATGTTTTTGCTGAAGTTAGTAATTATGAGTGGTCTATGCCAGCTGTGGATATTCCCAGGGATGAGCAGAGAGCATAAAACGTTCCTGATGTGAATGCATGCAAGCCCATTACTATCACTATAGTGTTAGAACAGTGTTGCCACTAGTTTCTGAAAGAATCATTGATACTTTTTAAAATATGCCAAGTTGCCAGGAGTAAACTGCAGAATATTTATCAAAATATCACAGCTCTGATGGTTGTAATATGGTAGGTCTCTGGTACTTTCTGAGGACTTGAAAGAGAGGCACCTCTGCAAGAACTGCATCAAAGTTTTGTATAACTTACTAGTTGTTTTCCGTTTAGAAAAGTTGTACCCTCTCTTTGTTTATTTAAACAGGTACATCAGATCTGAGAGGTCAATAATTCTAATCAATTTCTGCCTGTCTATTATCTCATCAAATATCCTTATCCTGGTTGGACAAACTCAGACACATAACAAGGTATGATGATGGATTGTATTGAATTTGCATTTAAAGATTGATATCTTTGTTTTATTTGTGTTTGGCTTAAAATAATTGCATACATTTAGTCCTATACTCATAGGACTTGGTGTTTTTGGTAAAATATTAACAGACAAGGGAAAATATTTACTGTCTTTCATAGTCTTTTTTTCCCATCCAAAAATCCCTTTTGGTATTGTTCCCTCTGGATAAGTTGTGTTCTCTGTGGTAGACTTGTGTTTTATAACTAAATTTCAAAGCAAAAAAGTTCAAAGGCTCAACATCAAAAGCACAAATTCTGGTTCATTATAATAGTTGTAATAGGATTGTGCTACAGTGTTTTTGTCTTTTTATTAATACACTGGCACTCAAAAGGCAAATAGGAATTGCTTAGAAGTTAGAGTATGAGTCTTGAAAATGTGCAGAAACAGACATCATAACAAGCCACAGAACTGTTAGATCTCTGACTGGTGTAGCTGTAAGAAAGTAATAAACCTACATACCTTACTGATATATTGCTGATTTAATGCTAATCTGTTCTCTGAACGTAGTTGTCATTTGTCCCTTTCCTGTAGAGCAGGATTGCCAGTGTTTTGAGGAATCACCCAATGCTTAGTGATGATGGGCAACTTTCAGAAGCGACAATAAATCATTGCTTAAAAGTAACTATAACTACAGGATTGTAGACAATAAAATGTAATTGGTTAATTGGGCAATATGTGATAGAATGCTGTTAAGATTTGAAGTAATCAAGTATTTGTAAAGTTGGGGTTTTTTCCCACTGTGGTAAACTACTTAATGCACTGCTTATCTTAATTTTTTCCAGTATTAAATGAAACACATTCATCATCTGCTGTGGGATAACTGGTGTTTCTACAACACACCTGTAATTAATAATTTTTCCTTCTCAAATAAGTCCTTAAAAATTTAGCTACCAAAAGTCTCATAAATTCAATGTGAGTTACATAGCAGTACTTTTTAAAACATACCCAAATCAAACTTATTAATTTCCAATACATAATTTAACAAAATTATTAAAATTAAGATATCAATATGCTTTTTAAGTTTTGAAAGTATGTAGAGTGTCACGTGAGAATGGACAGAAAAGACGAATTTTCTCTCCAACCTGTATGAATTTATTTTTTGTCTTCAGTGTCGCCCCTTCAGGAGATCAAAGCCTTTTAATGTCCAAAAAATTCTGTTAGCGTCTCACCTAATGAGACCCTTCACTTAAAAGATTTGCTGAGACGGACAGGACGTTTGATGCCTTTTTATATAAGGACTGCACCAAATAGTGGTAGAAAAACCCCTCAGCAGGTTTCTCCTGTGACTTACTTTGCCATGGACAGAACTGTCAGCACCTAAAAACAGACTCACTCTAACAGTTCATGAAGTAATGCACATTTGTGACAATTTATGGGGTTTACTGTGTCTGGAATAGGGTCTAACAGCAAAAAAAATCACACTTAAACTATGTAGCAATAATAATAAGGCAAAGCATAGGCACACACACTACAGCAATGGCAACTTGCCAATAAGTAAGACAACTTACAAAGAAGAGGTAAAGCAAAAACTTAATCACACTCCCTAAAGCAAAAGAACTAACAAAGAATAAGTAAAAAATGTTAAAGTAGTATGCAGCAAAAGTAAAATTAGTATATATGTATAAGCAATTGCTCACCCCAAGGCATCCTGGGAAGGTGGAGGGAGAAAAGGTAGCCCTTCGGTTACCTCCACAGAGTTGATGGAACTTCTCACCAATTTTTGCTCATGTCCAATCTCTTTTTATACCTTTTTCTGTAGCCAGTTTAAATGTCTATAGTCAATGAATTAATTTGGGGGTGATAGATGAAATAGGCTCAAGGATCCACTTCCTGAGTTCTAGCAGCCAGGATGTTGAGAAAAAAGGCCGTGTTATCTCCATATCACTCCTTTCTTGACCTTAATCCTTTTATCAGTATCTGAGATTGTCTCCCCAGGTGTGTGGGTTTTTTCCAGGAAACCATTAGGAGCCTGGTTCTTCCTTTTGTGTGGCCTTATCTTACAGTAGCAGTACAAATGAACAAAATATGGATTTGCAGAAGAAAACCATGTAACTCTCACAGATTTTATTCAGGGGAAAAATTAGTCAGAAAGGTGCTAACAACTTCAGTGTACCAGGGTGCAGAAGACTAACCCTTCCTGGAATTTCAGCACTGACACACACAGTCATATATACTATTTTATTATGTATTTCGAGAAAAGGTGTAGCTGAAGGTTCCTATGTACATTGCCATTGTAGAATCAGAGTTTAAGGGTATCTGAACAACTTTGTTGAATAACACACTACCTAGGTAAGGTGGCAGCCTTTCTCTGATGCTTGACTCAAGGAACTTTGAGCCCAAATATGCCCTTATTCCAGTTCCTTCCGTTAATCTTAATTTCTTTGAGCTCTCTCAGTTCTGCTTCCTAAACTCCTGAAAGCAAAGAGATATTACATTTCTGAGGCCAGCAGATCCTAAAAATGCAGATGTTCAAAGGAAATAATTAACAAGAAAAACCCAACACGTCACAAAGTTTAGATTTTTAATATATAGACTGAAAAATTACTGTAAAATACCACTTTTGCTACACTTATCTTCTTTTTGAGTCCACATCTTGCTTTTGATACATCTGCCACCAAGGGCCTTCTAGCCAGAGAGCACCTCTAACGGATCAAGGGTTTTTTATATGGAGGAAGACATTCCTTCTAACAAGCCAAAAATATTTTTATCACAGTGTGGACTGATACGTGAATATATTGTAGCTCCAAGAGGCTGGCCTGTGAAGTCACCATCAACAAAATTGCCAGCTAAAGCCACTGTTTATTGCAAACTTACTCAAATTAAAGCAATCAGTTCCGGGTATGACTTCATTGTGTTTGCAAGTGGGGATATGTTTAGGCATCAGATGTGTTTGAATTTAAGTTCTGAATTTTTTATTTTCAAGATCATATATCACCCAAAGAAGCCAGTGTTTGATTTTTAGTCCATAATTCTAGACTGCAATACTGACATCTGTAAGAAAAATTATGTTTTTATTTTGCTGAGCTGGAAAATTAAATCTGTAAATGCAAACTTTAGAAAGAAAATCAGGTCCTGACCTGGGGTTTAAGATTAAAAACATTTTAGATTTTTTCCTGAGATTTCATTTATTTACTAGAAATCAAACCATGTGGGTTTTTAGTGTTTGAAAATTTTGGAAGACATTTTGAGAGTATTTTATTAAGACAATGTAATATTCAAGTTATCATTGCTGAACAAAGGCTAAAGCAATTTTTTGTGGCAAGAAGATGAGTTCCTTTTTTTAAAATGTGTTGGAGAATATTTGATAAATATGATATGCCAAGTTTGAGTTTGTTTGCTCTGTTCCTTTCTCAGTTTTATGCTCATACTATTCTCAGACTACTGGGGCACTTTGTTAATGTCCACACGATGCTGTAAATATTCACAACACTGAAGCATATCCCTTTTTTTCTGTGCTTTAGTTTGGCTCTGAGTTTAAATTTTCCCTAGCTCTCTATTTGGATATATTCCCTTTTGAGAATATCAAAGATGTATTTATAACAAACAGCATATTTTCAGTCTGTTTACAGTTTGTGGTTTTCTTTATATGTATTAAATACTTCACCAACTACTTCTATTTTATACTGAAAGCTGAATATACCATTCATGTTTCTACAAAAGCTTCTTTTAGTGAAGGCTAAGTGAGTTTGAATATTGCATTCCCTTTGGTTCAACTAAGTTCTGGCTTTTTTCAGTAAAAAACCCTACCTCCCAAGGGCAGAAATGGACAAAACATTTACCAAGGACATGTAGAAGGAATTAAGATTCTTTCAAACTACCATAGTTTTTCCATTTCTAGTATTTACTTTTTAAAAGTTGCTTTTCTTTTCTTCAGTTTCAGGAACTTGAGGATACCAACAGTAGACCAGATATCTAGGTCATGGGGCTTTTTAGCTTGTTTTGGAGTAGTTCATGATGACAGTCATGGAGGGAAGTAGAATTATTCTTGGAAGATTTGGATTGGGATAGCAAAAAAGCCTTTTGTCAACAAAAAAGCTTTGGTCCTTTATTCCTTATTAGCCAAACATGTTGTGCATTTTATTGAAGGACACAGCTGAGAAACGTTCTGATTTTTTCATTATGTTTCCCCAAACCTTTCAAAACACAGAACTTTATTCAAAGCTTTCTTAATGCTTCAGACTGTGTAAGAGATTTCTGTTTTTTCAGATCCTGTTTTGAAATACAGGTCACTGAAGGCTGAATTTACAAAAATACTATGAAATTAATTATGTATCTTGTTTAAATATAGTTGGTGTTATACTGTGCATGAGAAGCATATTAATTTACTTTAGTATTTCTTTCTGTGTCTTTTTTTCTTAAATATTAGCCACATCATTGTTTTTAAATTTGAGGATATGCAATTGCTACACTTTAACAACTGAATTTAGTTTTAATGCTGAAATTAAGTCTCTTTAATTAAGGAAGGGTAAAACTTGTCATTTATAAGATAACTGCTCAAATATCTGTTATTTGACAAATCCTGTGAGATATCCCTGACATCTATAAAAGCATTAGATATTTACTTTGAAGTGACTGACAGGTATTTTGAGGCAATACCTATCAGTGATTTGTAGCATTCACTGTATCATAACTCTTGCTATTTTATGTTTCCTAATGTTCATATTGCCATCAAGAATGATTGTATTTCTTCTATATGTGGACCTTTAATGCTTAGGCTATAAACTTTTACTGTGCTTCTGATCCCATTTAATGAATAGATTCTCTACCCCCATAAGTTATCGATTAATATTACATGGATTTTTTCATAAACTCTCTCTCATTTTGCATACATTCAGAAAATAGCCTGGTTTTTTCCAGTTTTGCCTTTAAAAACCCCATTAACTGTTTTATATAAACAGTTCCAGTATATCTATTCTGTTTGTATGACGAAAACAAAGATGAATACAATTTAAAGAA